GGGTTTAGGGTTTTGAGTTGAGGGGCTTGGTGCTGCAAGGACTACAGCAGGCATTCTTGTGCTGAATGATGTCAGAATCTATTACAGGAATCCATTACCCCAACTCCCAACCAAACCCTGAACCCTGGACTGGACCCATTCCCCACCAAACCCCGCATCCTGGATCCTAGAAAGTGAAGACAGCAAATTAGCTTGCATTTTCTCTTATCTGTTCTTCCCGCTCCCAACGAGCATGAGTAAGATTTTTGGGAGCTCGAGTAAATAAAGGCCCTGTAGGTAGTGCTCCTCCACACACTCTGCCTCCTGCGGCCAATCCGCACGGCATACCCGTAGTTATGTCTCTGTAGTGCGGCATCGACACCAGTGCTTGTCCGGAATCCTAAACTACCGTTAAACTCCCGCTTGCGAGACTCGTCGATTTTGACATAACAGCCCGCGCGATGATCTGAAGCAAATGCTGAGCCCATTCAGCAGGCTAAACCCTCAAAACTTTGCACTACAGCGCGAATGAAATTACAGCGTGTTGCAGCGTAACATCTATCAAGGTCACACCGTGGATCCCCGACCCTGAAGCCACACGCCAATTTTGCGCTTGGAGCGTTGGTCAGGTGGGCTCACACATTGCAGCATTGGCGGAAGAGCAAAGAGCTTTTGCGTCGGATGCTCTGCGGCACGCCACAGTTTCACCTTGAGGTCATCCTCGCAGCATACCTCTACAAGCTCAGCTGCGCTCGCCCACGAGCTTTTCCGCTTGCGCTTCATTCTTGGACGGCCTGCCCCCCCCCCCCCCAAAAAAAAAGNNTGGGGGTCTGGGGGTCCTATGGTTCCTATTAAAACGAATAAGGGACAAGGGAGGCTTTCGATCCTTCAGCTCCTATTCAAATTATTCAGATTAGTAAGGGAAGGGATTAGAGCAATGATGAATTGAATTTGTTACCTTCAGAGCCAGAAAAGAATGAGGCGAAAAAATCTTTACATATTGGGACCCCCAAATCAAATAGGGGGTCCAACACTTTGCTTTACTGGGGACTCCCGAACTAATCGGGATGCAATATCATCATGGCATGATGCAGCCGCCGGCTTTTTTCTAAGTCTCTTGGAGCTGCAGCCGCTTCAGAGCTTCAAAGGACAAGTCACGTTGATGATCACTAGGGTTTAGGGTTGAGGGGTTTAGGGGTTTGGGGTTTAGGGGTTTAGGGGTTTAGGGTGATGCACACCTCGTGGATCTCACCCATGTCTGCATCAAGCGGTAGACCAGCGCTGGTCTGAAAGTGGGGACAAAGGGGGAGAGTACGTTGCTCTCGAAAAGAAGTCGCCTGCAGTGCAAAGATTCAGGGTTTTCTGAGTGTTCTTCATGCTGCCGGTTGGGGTTTGGGAGTTGCGCCCTGAGGGGGTTGCAGGTTTAAGTTCTGTGCAGTTTTTTGGGGTTGTGGGGTTTAAGTTTAAGTTTAATCTGAAATCAGGGCCCCTTATCTCGCGGATGATCTTATAGAATTTAGGGTTCAAGATTTGTTCTGGGGATTATAGGAAATTAGAGTTGGCGTGTTGTAAGGATCCTCTCGCCCACTACCTCAGGAGCAGCAGTAAGCCATGCTTAAGGAGAGTTCCAGTATACAGCCCATACAATTTGCATAGGATTCAGGTCGGGAGTGTGTTGTGCCAATTTTTATGGTTGCTTTTGCCTAGTACAACTTGTGCTTAACTTGGGCTTGAGGTTTGAAGGTTCGGTTTTTGAGGTTTTACCGTTTAGGGTTTCGCCGCTTACGTACGGCTTCGGCCAGCAAATTCTTGGGCAAAGGTCCCTCGCAGGATGTGGATAGGCTTGCACGCTGCAGCAAGCAAACAGCCATTCATCCTGAAGGAGGTCGGGGTCCTCTTGCATCCGAACGATTCGTAGAATGCGTTCGCCTTCAAACACCCAAACTACCATGAACCTCGTTGTGGGGGAACCCCAGAAGCGTAAACTGTAACCCCCTAAACCCTAAACCTCTAAACCCCCAAACCCCCAAACCCCTGTTCCCAAGGGAGTCTTCCCAGGCGGGAGCTCTGCAAAAAGTTGGGTCTGTCCTTCGAGCGCATGGCCTCCTCCATGTTTGCCGGGGGCTTGGGTCATCAGCAGTTTGAGGAGTTTAGGGTTTAGGGTTTAGGATTTATAGGTCTAAGGTTTAGGGTTTAGGATTTTGGGCGAACCCCCAAACAGGGAATCGAAAGAAGACAGCAGGAACATGAATATACATACCCCGACTTCTGGCATTCTGGGTACTCTGCATATGAGGGGTCGCCTCGTACTAAAGGGACCAGAATGTTGACAGTTCGTTAAACCATTATGTTGGGAGAGCTACAAAACAACAATAGCAATGGTCGGGATTCATACGCTTACACTTTCCACCTGCTCAGGCATCATGTCCATACAGTCGATACACGATTCTCCTGCAACCTATCACGGAAGCCCACCTCGGGATATGTGTTCAAAGAAGCCGAACCCATTGGCCTAGACTTTGCCTGTGATGCAGCCACAGCCGGATGTTGAATTTTTCATTCAATCAGGGTGGTGTCAAACTAATGGGTCCACCCTTTCGGAGATCCATAGAAGTATTTTGGGGCAAATACCGAGGGGGAGTGGGGGCTGTGTGGGTGGGGCAGGTCCCCCATTTTGAGGAATATCATCGTATGAAGCACATGCTAATTGCTAACTAGCATTGCAGAAGCTATGAGGGCAAGACTTTGTTCTAGTCCTATTCTGGGTTGCTGTAAAGGAACTTGCTAAGTTGCCACAACATGGATATGTGATATACATATATATAATAGTAAGCAACATGGTTTCCTTCGCTTGATAACTTAATTACGGCTCCTCAGCAGCCACCGCGTATTTAAGACTGGTCCGGGGTGGGCTGCAAAGCCAAGGAGCGGAAGCACTTGCTCGAGTCCTTGGTGCGGGACACAGGGGCTGCGGAGCATTTCCCTGACTTACAAAAGGATTTCCCGTACAGCTCCTTACTAAACCCGAAATGCGTTTTCCTTCAATAGTGCCAAGATAAGACAGATTGGTAGGAATGCTAAGGAGTGAAGGAAGGGATCCGTTGTGCACGTCTTAGGCAAGCACTGGGCAATCACTGTGTAATGGCTAGAAGGCTTCATTGGCCTGCCAGAGCTGGGACTCTTCCAGCAACGCGCTCCCTAGACCCTAAAACCCATTGGCCATCCCCAGCTTTAGTTCGAGCAAAGCTAGCAACATTCGACAGAGAATGTTACCTGCACCCGCGCATTCAGACCTTCCACTGATGTACTTCTTAGTTACTACCAGCTCTGGGTTGCTGTTTAAAGTTCCTTACCAACAACCCAGCATATTCACTGCGGTTTCCATGCTGTTCCTACGAAGGCCGCACTATCCTCAAAAGTTTTTCGCACAGGTCCAGGTGGGACTTCTGCCAGCAAATTTCAAGGATCTCGAGCATGAGCAGAAGAACAAGGCAGCAGGGCAGTTGAACAACAGTGATGTGTGATTGGGGGGTTCTGATTTCCACAGCTTTTGCTGGAAAGTTTTTCAAAGCGCTTTGCGACAGTATTGCTGTGAATCCTCTTGCTGCCGCTATCATCATCATCAGCATCATTGTCAGCTGGTCCGCCCGTGTCACATTCGTGTCTAAGGAGCTCTGCATATCAACTTTGCTGCAAGGTGCCAGACTGGAATCTTGTACGTGCGGCCGTTGTTGCCCGGCAGACATGGATGTTTCAGGCTTTTGAGGAGCAAAGCGGAAAAAGAGGTTCCAATGGGGTACATAGCTGGGAGGGTGCTCAAAGTGGAGAATGCTTTGGTCTGGATCCTGGTGTTATATGCACAGGATTGCCTTTTTGAGAAAGCACCAGATGACCGAATAGCTGCTCTGAGCATCATTCTTGGTGACTAGGCCTTGGTTTGGTGCGTCTGGTGTTGAGTCGGAATACGGTGGCCTTTGCGGAGGAACTCTCCTGCGCTTTTTTTGGAGTATGGGCAGCTGTTATTCATGAAGCACGGCCTGCGACTATTGCCTTCACTGCTGCGGTTCTGACGGGCCTACATGGGGACTCTGCCCTGCTGTTTCCAAGGTTGGGGGCCTGTACCCCAATATCATCCACGTCTCGCGACAGCCCCCGAGGCTGGGTCCCAAAAATTCCCAGAGGGTCCATGTACCCAATAATTAGGTACTTGGGATTTGGGTAATGGTAATTATAGTGCTAGAGGTCAGTCGTGGTTTTGGTGGTGGCGCAGCAGGGGTGGGGAAGACCGGTGAACATAGCGGCAAGTTTGTCATGTTCGTTTTTCTGAAATTGGAGGAAATGTTTGGTGCTTGGTGGGGGAGGAGGAATGAACCAGGCTGTGCAACTGAATGGCGCCGAGTGCATCGGAGACGGCTGCAGGTTGCCGTAGGGCATTGCGCCTCTTCCTCCTTGGTGACAACATGTCCACTAGCATCTGAGCACAGGTTCCAAAGTGCCGCCATGATGGACAAGGCCAAGTACCTGAACTACCAGGTCCTACAGAGGTGGGGTCGTCAGGTTTTGAGAGTGTTCTACTTAGCATTGCGTGAGACAAGGCGTGTCTCAATGCTTGGCATTCGCTGTGTGTTTCGGTATCAAAGTGAGACATCCGCATGTGGTAATCACAAGAAAATGGCAATCAGAGCCTCCGGGTACGCCAGCCTGCCTGAGGCACGCGAAGCTGGAGCAGCAGTCATATCCCAAAAAAGTCAACCTGCATCCCAACTCGCTGATGTTTGGGAATGACCAGCACTGGCCTTACCCACATCATGCCACACGCCGTGATGTTCAGTGCGGTTCTGCCAGCCAGGATTAAGCAGTTCTATCCTGAGTTGTCATGGAACTCCAGTGTCTGCAGCACTAGTGCAATGCATGGAGGTCAGAGAGTGTGCACAGAGAAGCAACCATAAACCCTAGGCAAAAAACCTTGGACTGTAAACACCAAACCTTAATTAAAACCCTATATGATATATCCCTATATAACCCCTATATACTCCTTATATGATCCCTGTATAACCCCCTATACAATAGAAAAACGGCTGCAGAAGTGGTCAGGTTCCACTGCCCCTGGCTGGCCTATTACACCATCCAGCTGCAGCCTGAGATAACCCAGCTTTAAGGGGGCTGCGGCTCAGGGGGTTATCATGGCCTTACATAGGTTTATGTTGGGGTTATACGGGCTTGTGAAGGTGTTATAGGGGAGCACGCCAAGCATTCCAGCAAGAGGCTGCTTTCTTTGTCATGTCTGAATTGATCTGCAAAGAGGCAGACCTCCAAGCTGTACGCCTACGACGTTTCAGAGGCGCTGCGCAGATGATGGTGATAGCCATTCGAGTATCCGTAGTGCCCGTCATGCTTCGAGCAAGAAGCCTAGGATCACCGCATGCTGACAGAGTCTTTCCATTTGACTGGGGTATTAAAATGAGACTCTGCAGCCAAAAGGGCCCCACCAGAAACTAAAGGGCGCCACAGTCCAAATCTAGGCCCGTGATTTCTTGGTTCGAGGTGTGTTCGTGGGGGTACTAAAGTCCCCAATTATAGAAGAAGATTGAGTGTTTGAATGGATTTTTTCAGAAGGATTCCGTCTTACTTCAACCACACACAGCACCGCTGAGGTGAGTCCCTTTGCTTTGCTGCTCTTCGGGGGCGAGCCGACAGTGAACCATGGTGGCATTGAGGCACCCTCTCCTCAGAGCCTTAGGAAGACATGGGGAGTTTTTTTTTTTTTCTCTTTTTTGTCATAATCGCAATTTTGGGGGAACAGCAAGTGTGTTTATGTACCATATGGGCTTAGGCTGCAGCAAGCGATTTTTGAATGGTTTCCATTGCCAGGCTTGTCAATGCGCACATGGGTTCAAGTAGTCCCTGTGGCCCGTACAACAGCCCATCTTTCGCTTCCCTAAAAGTCTCTGCGTAGCCCCTAGACTCTAGACAAGCCGTATATGATCCCCCATATATAATCCATACAGAACCACCAACAAATTAAATGCCCGATAGCATCCCACATAACCCTAAACCCTGTAAACTCTAAANNAATCCTAAACCCTCAAATCTAAACCGTCAACCGTATGAATCTCCATCTGGTAGTCTCCCAAAATGGGGTGACCCCAACACAGACCCCAATATACTATAGTCCTTATTATAATAACCCTCAAAAAGGTACCCCGGTACCCCTAACTTTGGGAAACCCCTATATAAAGTGTGCAGGTGGGCTCATGGGCCAACTTCAAGTGTCGGAATGGGAAGCAGCTTCTTCCCCTCCTGCAGGCCATCCCTCCCTTGTGGAGGTTATGGAGAAGCATCCCTAAACCCTGACTCTAAACCCTAAATTCAAAACCCCTAAACCCTAAACCCCTAAACCCTAATTCCTAATCCCTAAACCCTCCCCTCAGGATAGTTAGGAGCTTTTAGGGGTTACAGGTTTAGCGTTGAAGACTTGAAGGTGGTAGGTCAGGTAATCTAAGTGCAATCCCTCAAGTTTGTTGCTTGTTAAGGCTGTTTAGTAGTCAATGCAGTGTCCATTTTCTTTCTTATTCCTGCATTCCCTACTGCCGGCCAACAGCCTTAATTAAACCACAAATATCTCTCCAAGCTCCCAACTTCCATTTCATCATCCGTGTGATTTCCCATTTAATTTCCCATTCCCTAAACCCTAAACCATACATGACATATGCAGTTTCTATTTCACTTTCCGAGTGAATTTGCATAGCCTTTCCGTTCCTAAAAATTTCCCAAACCCGAATCAAACTGCGTAGTTTCCATTAATTTCTCATCAGCTTTTCCACTGGATTCTCCCTCATTGGGTCTCTACCACCCCTCATTATCTAAGTTTATATAATCTCTAGATAATCTCTACAGGGTTCCTAGAGAAACCGTTTATAATCCTTACATCTCCTTAAGTTGTCCCTATATTCCTACTAAGAATCAGTAGGCAGCAGGTTGCTTATAAACCACCACATTGCCAGGCAGCCCGCGCTGCCATTCAGGACGTCTTGGAAAAGAAGTTGGAGGCCGTCGTTGCGGCGCCTCTTTTGTCGTAATCGTAAGTATCATGACTTTAGGGTCTTTGACTAGTGTTTATAGTAGAGTGTTTAGAGTATAGGGTTTAGGTTTAGTGTTTAGGGTTTCATGTGTTGTGGTAATGCTTGCCAGTATGACTCGCAGACTCGCACTGCTTGTGTATATTGGTTCTGAGGCGGTTCCTCGCTCGGTCCTCTCATTCTGCGCTTCCTTCGAGAGATCGTAGGTTCTGACAAATGTGAGATGCCCATCAGAAACTAGGTAGGGAACAACCCAAGTGATGACCAGTGTGGTCTCTCATAGTAATCAAAATTGTCGTGTAAAAGTCAAAGTGGTAGTAATGGTAATAACAACAGCAACAGTAATAGCAATAGTGACAGTCACAGTAATGGTAACAGTAAAAGTAGTCAGTCACTTACTATCATTTTCGCTACAGCTGTAGATAGTTTGTGTTTCGCAATGCACGTACTTGGCGCAGGACTTGAAGTTCGACCTCAGCAGCTCCAAGGACTTTCTTGGCAGAGTGCGGAGGGCTCGTGGTTTAGAGGATCTAGGATGTGAAGTAGTTGTATTTCTGAATTTCTAATTATGATATTTGTGAAGTGCATATAGGGTGCCTCAGGAATTTCAGAGTGTACACAGTTGGCGTCCAATGTGGGTGTCAGTATGTATGACTGGTTTTGGGGAAACAATCATATTTGAACTGGACAAGGACAACCTGGCCCAGCCAACATCTTCTCCGAGCTATCAGGGGATCAGAGGGTGGAGAGGATCTACCGATTCGAGGGGCTCCAAGCAGCACTCAAAAGCGTGGTTAAATCTAAGGCGACCCTGTGCGCGATGTATTCAATCGACTCCCTGTGTTGTAGGTTGTTGAGTTCATGGCTCTATTTGGGTCTCCATGAGAACTGGTGCCTCAAAAGGGGCCATAAGTTTGACACCGCCGATATGAAATTATCATGGGCGCAAAAACTTGGCAAAAACCTGCTAGGGCTCTGCAAAGCCCCTGAGGAGCTGCGCGCCTGCATCGAGCTACTGAAGTGCAACGGCCTAGGCAATTCTTTCAAGCACAGTCTTTCTAAGCCTTGACTGTAGAAAATAGAGCATGCGCTATGAATACACATTTCATCTTCTGGCAGAGCTTTACTGTTGAGAGGTTGTTTGCAGTGGCATTCAGGGTGAGTGAAAGCATAAATCATCTGCAAGCGTGCAGCTGAAACTGCGCTGAGCCCTCATGGGATCTTCTCGACTTCTCGATACTACACTGCTTTGATCCTTCCAAATCCCGGGGTCCCCAGCAAGATATCCCCCGATCTGTGGAAACGGAAGGTTTTCGGAGAGAGGACCCGGCCGACATTGTCCGGTCCGGCGAGGGGCAGGCGGGGGAATTGCGGGTTGACCGAGTTCAGGGCTTAGGGTTTAGGGTTTAGGACTTAAATTAAGTTACCATAATNNGGAAAAGACAATGGAAAACGAAATGGAAACTGGGTCAAAGAGTAAGAGGGTTCTTCACCCGATCCAGTAGAAAGGGGCCACTTGCAAGCTTGAAGTGGGCACGTTGTCTTGGCAGGAGCGCGAGTTCAATGAGTTCGAGAATGAGACGGCCTACATGACACGCAAGGACTGTGGAGTGCTGTGGGTGCTTCTCTAAACTAGGGTCCTCCTGCCCTATCTAGTGCTTTTCTGATTCCAAAAGAGGGATGCGCAGTTCTGAGACGCAACCTGATCACAATTCATTTGGGCAAGCATGCTCTGATGCTCCCAAGGATGATGAGCAGCAGGAGCGCATGAACCAAGTATGGTGAGGGACTTACACCGCTTTCGTTGCATTGTTCCCTCATCGCTGCAGCCAAGTTCTGGTCAAGCGCTTTGCCGAGCTGCAATTTCTGAAGGATTACCTAAAACTGACAAGTTAAGGGCATTGAAGGAATCCCACTACTCGGTTTTCCATGACAGCTCCTGACAGGGCCAACGCCAAGAATCTGGCCGAGTCGTAGCGACATGGAAAAAGGAGTTGCAAGCGTGTCTGAAGGATGAGGAAATCCATTGTGTAATTTGGGTAGCAGCCATTGTTTGGCACACGAGCAAGGAAGCAGCTAGTTGACGATCCAATACTTTAAGCGCCGCTCCACTGATGACTGTGCAGGGTTCCTTCATTTTGTAGCGCAGGAGCTTACGATAATGATCACTATTGTCAGGGTTGGCGTTGTCACGAGCATTGTAACAGCCACGCGTGTTGATCCAGCAAAGTACGAAGACTGGCAGTTCCATTCATGACTGCTGCCTGTGCTCGCAACTCTTGGAATGTATGATTCGATGACGGTTGGCAATTCTAACACACCTCAGGAGCAGGGTAGTATCATACAGTAAGCACTTAGAAGAGGGACATAGTTTGCCTGGTTGAGCCCGAAACCCAAAGTCAACGTGATGCACATCCCGCAGCCAAGCTAGCCTCCCTGTATTCTTTCAATTCCAGATACACGGGCCGCGCTGGGTCCTGAGACCGCCGGGGTTTTACAACGGAAAAGGCTCTGACCGTTAAGGCCCGTTAGGGCATTATAGCCGGAATAACTTCCAATAGTTCAGGTAGAAGGAGAATCGAATGGAGAAGACAATGTACAATGAAGGAGACACAGCGCTTCTGTGTTTGTTTTAAGATTTCTAGGATCATGTTCCGCATGGCACTTCGGATTTTGATGGTCACCTGTTGCTCCTGTTGTTTGGCACCTTCAAAACGAAGCTGAGCCCTAAACCCTAAATACTAAATTCTAAATCCCAACCCTAAATCCTAACACTAAACCCAGGAGTTGGGGCTGGCACCCGAATTCTGATAATGCTCGCTGTGGCTTTGCTTGAGAACTGTACATGTCTCGGGTCGTGCCTCAGTGATGCTTGCACTTTCTACTTTGCTGGCTCGATGGGTTGATTTGGTAGTCCCCACAAAAATAGGGGGACCCCAATATAGATCCCAAAATTCTATAGTCCTTATCAGTGGGACTCCTAAAATAGTACCCCTAGTTTTGGGAAACCCCATTTCATCTTTGCGGCAATTTCCCTTGCCTGGCCTTACCAGTGTGGTGTTCCGAGACGAAAAAAGGTCCGATTAAAGAACACAACTAAACCCACTGAATCCTAAACCCTTAACCCTGAGCCATAAACCCTAAACCCTAATCATTAAACCCCAATCCCTAAACCCTAAATGTGACCAAGCCCCGGCTGGTTTTCTCCGCCCTCCAATCCTCCAATCCAAGGCCATCAGTGCGGCTCCGCGCGATGCCCAGGCTGCCCACATGAGGGGATGGAAATGTTTTAGGGTTTGGGGCTGTGGTTTTAGGGTTTGGGGATTTGGGGTGTAGGTTTTAGGGCTTAGAGTTTAGGGTCTAGGGGTTAGGGCTAAGGGACCCCAAAATGGAGAATCAGATGGTATAGGGATATGTATAGTTGAATATCAAATGGAGCATCAAATAGAATATTACATGCAAACCGAGGTTACTTACGGAGTTATATAATCCTTGCTGACCGGAGGGACATGGTTCCTGATGTCAGACTCTTCTGAGAGAATTACTCGGAAAACACGTAGCAGTTTACTGACATAAATTTGCTTCAAATACGAGAAGCTTTAGTTGTCCATGGTGCCGGACCAAACCTGCTGGCCCGGGAGGTGTCAAAAAACTTGCTTAAGGTGGCCTAGCTGAGTTTGGGGTTTAGGGTTTCTGCACGGTCCTCCTGAAGACATAGAAAGTAGGTGTTTGGGGAATATGCTATGGGTGTTCCAATTGTTGAGCTACATTGACCTAAACGCTGCGACGGGTCGAAAACG